AAGAAGAAGAAGAAGAAGAAGAAGAAGAAGAAGAAGAAGAAGAAGAAGAAGAAGAAGTGATAAAGAGGGTTTTTTTTAAGTCAGGTCAGTGCCCATAGACACAAGTGATATGATATTGTTATTTTTTTGGTATGAAAAAAGTACTTCGCCCTTGTCTTTTTCCAACACACTTTTTCTTTAATTCCTAGTATACTCTACAAATCGTAATCAACTGGTCATCTCCCATTCAAATATTTATTAGGTCAGTCATTGCTCAGCTGGACTTAGAATGAGTATATTGTCATCACAAGTTATGGAGATGACATCATAATGTAGGAGACACCAATATACTTTTTTTTTTTTAAGTGCTTAATATATCCTGAGTTTACAAAAATTCATTCTATTTTGTATACTGAGTGAGCTATCTTAAGGAAAAGAATAGCAGATGCAAATGAGATTGAAAATATGAAAATAAATGAATAGCTACAGATTATTTGATAATACAAGATCTATGGCTCAATCCATATATATTTTGTACCAGTATAGGAAATACTACTGGCAGGGATTTTTTGGGCAAATTTTTACTCCTGAACAACAAATGTTGATCCACAGGTATTGAAATGAATATTCACCCTGAAGAACTAGTACAACTACTAATTACATGCATCCTAAAATAGCGTATTACAGTTTGCTTAAGTCTGTTGAATAAAAAATTGGTGGAATGTCTAACCTACCATTTTGATTTGAGATCTTCCTTTCTGGGCATGGAACACAGTCATAGCAACAGAATTGTTTTCCTTCAACACTTCTCTTCCAGTATCCAGGGGAACAATGGTCATTGCACAGAGAAAACGGAAGTACCTGGTCATAACATGAAATGTTTTGCAATGGGTGATTTGTAAAACAATTTCTAATTTTTCTCCATTATGGGGGGAAGGACTTCTTGACTTCCCAAACGGCCAATTAATGTTATCTAGTTGGATTTATACTATACATTAAAAAGATGTTGAAATTACAAGGATGTTCCAGAGGAAGAAAGGCAGGGTGAGTAAATAAATGTGCATTATGACAATGTTATGAAACTGTCCAACTAACATGATTTCAAATGGTATTGCAACCCAAATATGAAAACCTGGCTTTTACACTGTAATGTCATTTTGTCAATGTGGTAAATGCTTGATTGAGGACAACCTTTATACAGAATATGCCCTTTTTTCTTTCAGAAATTAGATTTCTAAAGACACCATGTTAAACATGGTTTAACAGAAAAAGAAATCTTCATGGAATCATAATATAGTCTATCCAAGGAGTCCATACCTGGTTAAAAGCTGAGTGCCAGACAATCAAATATTCATCAATAATGAATTCTTTCCCTTTTGGAGCACTGGGATCTAACTTTCCAACTCTAACTCTCTGAAAGGATCTGTTTGGGAAAGTGATCATGTTGACGATGTCAAAGCTACCTGGACCTTCTCTTTTGTCTTTAAAGAAGACTTTTTCTCCAGCTGAGTTGTTAAAAGAAATCCCTTGAAGAAACTTGTGGAGCTACTTGAAGGAGGACAAGAAAGAGGGAGTCAAAAAGAAAGCATGCATCAGGGATCAAAGTATTACACTTTTCCTTTCTTTTACTCTTACTTCCTGAGAAACGAAAAAAATATTCCCTGAAATATGGAATATTGAAATATGGAAGAAGTTTGAAAACTGTTAGCAAATTATCAGTAACTGAGATATATATACACTACTAACTTTGTTGCTTCAATATCTATATTGATATGTGGTGATAGGCCAGGGCAAACAAACCCTATTAATGTGAATGAGAATTACTATTCACTGAAACAAAAGATAGGTATGGTATGGAGAGATTACCTGCGAAGGCTGCAGATCTGGAAATTCAAACCCTGGAATCTCTCTCTGTTTGGATCGTGATCTCACTGTCTCCTTCAAAGAATGTGCCACTGCATACACAGCATTGTAAATGCTATAGCTTTGGCCAGTCATCTGCAACTCAAACAGAGGCCCTGGCAGATTCTCCAAATTCTCTTCTCCACTGCAAGTCTCACTGCTCATTGAGGGTGATTCTGCATTTCGAAATGAACAGTCAAACAATTGTTCCCAAATGTCTTGAATAAATCCATCTA